ATCAGGTTAAATTTTTCAGTATTTCTAGCATGAGTAATAGACTGTAAATAAATAAATAACAATGGTGTGTGATAAAGCTTTAGAGCTCACAATGTGATTCCTCCTGTCAAGTAACTACTGAATAATTTGAATAGAAATTAACAAACAAACAACAGCAAACTGGAAGATAAGTGCGTAGAAGCTCTGTATCCTGGACCCAGGGCGCAGGTGCTGGGACACATCTGCCCCTGAGGATAGCACAGAGACCATTATTCTTAACCAGAAAACACCCTGTCTCACTTTTACAGCAGAAGACTCAGGAGGAGAGAGAAATACTATCAATTTGACGGCCATCAGTTCTGTAGTCATCCCTCAGCCATCTCCCTAGAGATGTATTTAGTATCAGATGCATTTTCAACCAAATAMATATTCCAGACTTCAGTGTTAATACACCATTAAAATGACACCATCATGCTACATGGTATACTATAACTTAGACCTTGAATATTAGAGGTGAGACGAAATAGCCATTACTCTCTCCCCTGCCCCTTCCTCCCTATCTGCCTACCCTCCCAGAGAAAAATATTTGTAAAGGAAGCAGAAAAATGGCTGGCTTGTAACAGCGCTTGTGACTTTGAGGCAGACACTCTTTCTCTGCTGATGCAGGTTCCTAAATATCAAGAAATGAGAGCTGTGAGGGTCAGCCATAGAATATTTTCAGTTCAGAGTGTGGTATTGCAGAGGTGAGCTAGGTTTGCTTTATTTTCCCTCCTGCCTCTTTTTCTCCTCCCTCTTCCTACACATCATCTCTCCCTATCCCTTTCCTTTGGCGCTATATAAACCAGAGGGCAGGGCATCCAGCTGCTTCCACAGCAGAACAATGTTTGGGCAGAGTCCATGTTGACACAAGTGCATTATATCCTGAAGGGTCAACTGCAGCTTTTTTTTTCTTTTTTTAACTTCTCTTTAATAAACTTTGCAGAATTAACCTTCTGCTTTTGCACAGAAGCCATTAGTTCAAAATTTATGAGCTCATCTAATTGTCACCTCCCATCATTATATGATCTTGTCAGTTTAAGAGCAGTATTATTTTCCAATTAAAACTACTAGAAACCCTCCCCTTCCTTAACATTTAATAAAAGATGCACATAGGACTGGTTAGACAACCAAGACTCCATTCTTCCATCTTGGACTTTTCTGAGCAAGGATTATTAGGAGGGACCTTATTGCTCTCCGCAACTACCTAAAAGGAGGTTGTAGCCAGATGGGAGTTGGTCTTCTCTCCCAAGTAACAAGTGATCGGACAAGAAGAAATCAGCCTCAAGTTGCACCAGGGAAGGTTTATGTATGATATTAGGAAAAACTGGTTCACCAAAATGGTGGTCAGGCATTGTAGCAGGTCGTCCAGGGAAGTGAYAGAATCACCATCCCTGGAATTGTTAAATGTATGGATGTGACAGTTGAGGATATGGTTTAGTGCTGAACAAGGCAGTGTTAGATGAGTGGTTGGACTCAATGATAATAGAAGTCTTTTCCAACCTCAGTGATTCTGTGATTCTCTCTCCTAAAGGTCAAACACAAACCCACAGTGTGCCAGCCCATGGTCCAAATGCTGGCTAACTTGTTACCTCAACATGTGCCTCTGTGTGCAGGGGAGAGCTGTCCCAGGGCTTGGCCTGCTGTACATAAGCCCTCTTCTCAGCACTGCTATGATCTCRGCCCGAAATCCTAGAGCCTATGTGTACAGCCCATTTTACAATTTACAGCCAGTTTGAGAAGTAACTTGGTAAATGCACCATCCTGCAGCACCAAAAGGGCAAAACAGCTTCAGTCACCTAGAGGCAGCAGCCCAGCCAAAGCACTCTCATTTGACCGCTGTTTCTGGGACACAGAATCAGTCCTCACCGTTTCAGAAAGCATCCCAATTGCAGAAAATGCTCTTAAAGTGACATTCAGCCAGTGGAGTTGCTAGCAGAGCAGAATATCTGACCATTCCATTAATTACCCAAGGATGTAGCATTATTAATAAAATTCCTCACAGATTTGAGACTGACATTCTCAGAATAAGCAGACTGTGATTCTTCTAGATATTCTAGGCACATTTTCTACATGCTATAAAGTTCTTTTTTTCAGGTGGCAATATGCTCCACAGTCTGTGAAAAAAATGGACTATCTGATGGTGCTTGGGTTTTCTTTTTTTAATGGGATCTCTACCAAAATCAGCACA